GACCCTGGATTCAATTTGTCGAACCATTGGAGGGGCATGGTTTCTAGGGCCATGGGAAAGAACAAGGTCTTGATATCGTCGTCTCCTCCGGCTAGTTCAATCGATTGCGAGTAAATCCTGAGCCACTGCTTTGGTTCGGTCTTGCCATCATATTTAGAGTGGTTGGACGGCTTGAACTTGTGAGGTAGTCGTATTGAAGCAAGTCTATTTGCAAAACAGGGGAATCTATCATGCGTTCCAGCTTCTGTGTATTCTGATTCAGCACCCCCTTCTAGCCAACTATTGGTTTGGTGAGAGTAGTTCTGCGTGGTTGTCTGAATAGGTACTTTACTTCTAGTCTTTCTTGGTTGTTAGACTCGGTAGTTTTGACTATGGTCCCTTTTACTTTCTCTGTTGTGACTTCCACTTGGTCCAAGTCTCTCAAAAGCAGACTTCCTTTGATTTTGATCTTCCTGCTCATGAGATGTTGACCTTGTAGGTAGTCTTGAGCGGGTCCTTCCGTCGTGTGTCCTTAGGACCGTTGACCGGAGAAAGTCCCAGAGCTGTTCCTGTTTTTCATTGGGATGTGAGGTCGCTCTGAGTTCTTCTAGTGCTTCTCGAATCCTATAGTAGGGTGTATTCGTTGCGCGTCTTTCTTTGACTTCTCGTTCTGATTTTCTTCTATTGTACTTGGCCAGATCTGACTCATATCTGGTCCAAGCTTCCTTGCTTTGCCTAGCACGGCGTTGGCGTGCTTGTTTCAATTTATTTTTTCTTTCTCTGGCTTGCTTCTGATTCTCGGTCTCACCATCGTGCCCCTGGGTAAAGGGTGATATGTTGGACTCAGATTCATCCGATGACCTAATGTCGGGTGCTTCTGGGGGGACCAATGGTGACTGAGTAGGGCGAACCATGAATACTTCTCGTGCATGAATTGTTCTGTTATCGGCGTCGATTTCCTCACTGTCGGAGTTGTCGATAACTTTAGTAGAGGCTTCAAGGTCGCAGATCGAGTCACCTTCTTGGTAGGGTAGAATCGTTGTTGTCGTCGTGCCGACTAGTCGGGTACCGCTATCCTCAAGAACAGAACCTGACAAGTGGACGATGCAATCTTGAGATGTTATAGTTAGTATGTGACCTTCCTGAGCTCCTTTCAACGGCATTCTAAGCACCAGATCGAGGGATCCTTCGGGCCGTGCCTGATAAGATTTTGCCATGTTGTGGTGTCTGAACGGAAAAGGACCCGACTCCTTGAAAGGACTCTGAGTGTACTCTGAGTTGTATTCTTGATAGGCCGAGGCCGCACTCTGGAGCCCCACCGGAAAAGAACTCGGACTACTCTCAAGAGAACTCTGAATGTTTTTTGAATTGAATGCTTGATAGGCTGAGGCCGTGTTCTGGAACCCCGCCGGAAAAGAACTCGGTTTCTCGAAAGAACTCGGGTAAGACTCCATCTCGGATGTGGAGCCTGAGTTTGAGTCAGATGCGCAAAGCCGTGAAATCTAAGTTGGATTGGACATCACGAGCTGCGCGAATCTTCCGGCGAGTTGATCTGTCGTAGTCGCCGAAATAGAAAGGTCTTCATGGTGATCCGAATCTTTGAGGAGACGGTTATGGAGCTTGCCATTATCGCCTGCCTTGCAGATCCATGAACCGAGGATGAAGGTCGATCCCGTCGAGAAGATCATGTTGTCGAGGTCCGTCGAGCTCTCGGATGCAAATTCGCCGAAAGCCCCTACCTGGCGCGCCAGCTGTCCTGTCGATGTTTCACCACCGATAGCCTGCCACGAGGGTACCCGAGGCAGTTTGTTCAAGCTTCAGCGTATGCAGAACTCGACGGTAAACGCAAGAGACAGTCGACTTATCCTAGTTCGGACCCTCGATCGTGATTGAGTAATAGCCCTACGTCCAGTTGGCGTTAGCCTTTGCGTTGGATTGATTGTAAAGTGTTCTTTTCTCCCAGGAACCCCGCCCTCCTTTATATAGTCAGGAGACTAGAGTCCTAGTCGATTTACAATGAGAGTTCCTAGTAGGATTACAGAATAATACTACTACTAAGATTACATGGAAAAAATCCTAGTGAGACTAGATCTTCTTCCTTCCTTGAGGGGTATCCCGTGGGTCCCGTATCGACAGGGCTACCTAGGCCAAACACTTCTGATAGTATCCTGAGAACTACTTTGTTGTCTTCACCAATCTTCGGAGCAACTTTTACTAGAGTCTGGGGGTGTGGGGAAATAGCAAGGGTGAGCACATGTCGTACTCAGCAAATATAACACGGGGTTCATGAGGCTCAAAAGGCTGACACTGGTTTAACTGCGATTAGCTTTTAATTGTCACAATTTTAGCAATTGAGTAGCAACAAGTTTATCACCATCCCTTGTAAACACATGATCAGGTAAACATGAATAATGAATAGCATAAACAGTAATCATTAATGAACACCTTTATCATCAGTATCATCAGTGTTCATCATCTATTACGTAAGGGTTCCAAGGCCGCTCGTGACCGTGAGCACGGCTGATATACCAGTTTTACACTCTACAGAGGTTGTACACTTTCACCATGAGTCGTGTTACCCATATGCCCGGGTTTATAACTCTCAAAACACTTCCAAGGTGAGCAGGCAGGGTACACTACAAAGTTTTTCCCCAGTCGTTCTAATAAGGAGCAGTCGCTAAGGATTCCATCTCCCAAGTGTTATGGAGTCATCTCCAAAAGTGGCACTGATACACGCAGCATAGTACACACCCTGGGGATGAGGCCCATACCCAGCCCGGTATGCCCCTCTTGCCCTTTCGGTAAGCTGCTACAAACTAGAAAGAGCAAGATACTAGACTAAGACCAGAGCCATGTAGTCCTCATGGTTGTACTGTAAGTCCCGGATGATCACTTACAGATAAGTCCTTAGGGAGAGGAATCTGAAGCATTTAGAAAGTAGCTAAACACTCCAGCCCCCTGTTTCCAAGTTGCTAAAAAGTCATATTTTAATATTTATTGCATATACCATTAGTCAATTTACAAGATCATGGTGGTAGTTGAGCACTAGCAAAGCTATCCAATGCAATACCCCAAAGGTGTCAAGGTAGAAGATATCAAATATCTAGGACATCCTTATTGACAACAAGGTAGACACATGCAATATGAATTAAGTGATTAAAGGTGAATAGGTAACAAGGATGATCCCATGCTATACTTGTCTTTTAAAGCCCATTAGTAAATAAAGACATGTGCCTTTAGGATTTATTAGGATTATTGCACATGGGCTTTGAGCATTGGGAAAAGTGAGAGATTTATTATTTTCGGAATTAATTAATTTCGTGGATAAAATAATTTCAGAAAAGTCTAGAATTATTATTTAAGCCCCGAAAAATACTCCGAAAGCTCTGAAAATTCGGGGAAAATTCCCAGAGACATTATGGAACATGAGGAACCCAAATAAAGTATTTGGAGCCCATGATAAGATAATTTGAAGCATCTAAAGATTAAATTATGCTTAGAGACAAGTAGGAACAAGTTCTAGAAAAAGCTAGAAAAATTCCCTAAAAGTTTGTAGAGATTGATTGACATACGAGGAACTGAAAGGAGTGATTTGCATTACAAAGAAAAGATTTTAGGAAACTCCGAACGAAAACTTGAGCCGAGAAACAAAGAATTTGACTGTAGAAAAAGATAATGGCGTGCCGGAGAAGGAAAATCGACCTACTAACGGATTTTAAAGACTTTGCCCACTCTCAACACACAAAAAAGCAACAAGCAAAAATCACATCATCCAAATGCCCGCCAAAATTAGAAAACTTTGAAAATTCACATTTTTTTCTATAACTAAATTTGCGCTGGCTCAAACTAAACTTGGTAAATTTTATCCAAATATTAAAATAATTTATTTTATTTAGTGTTTTCTATGCACAACCCAAAATCAGAAATTTTGGGGTGTGACACACTCAAACATGGGTACATTTAAGGACATACTCGAAGAATGGAGCTTGTTTCCATCGAATTTTTGCATAATTTTTGTGACAAAATATTTGTGGAATATCCATAGAACTATGACCTCTATGAATTATCTTAAATATCATTGTTCCAAGAATATTGTCATTTGTATAGTAAGATGAAATTAATCATTCATTGTGGCTCTGGAAAATACTAAGATTTACGTGCCAATTACATAGAATGACATTTCACCCTTACAAATACTTTTATACCGCCATGTGCGTGTCGCACGTGCATTTCCACTAGTCTTTTTAAAATGCTGGAACATTTTTTTCTTGAAGGTAAAACATTTTTCTCATGGGGCTCTAACATTTTCAACTGAAGTACGTACAATGTTGTTGCTATGTTAGGAGAATTTTGCGTTGGACAAGGAACAAGATTCTTGTGCACCTAACACAATTTGCTCCTGAACACAGGACCAATGCAAAGCCCTCACAGATGAGGCAGGCATTGTGTCAAGATCTTAACACGCTATGAGAATGGCCAGCCTGAAAGCAAAGCCCCAGCAGCATGCAATTCCCAGTTTCCCACGCCATTGTCGAGGTTCTCTTTGGTCCCATATGTATTCCCCTTATGCCTCCTGTTCCCAGTATAATGGGATGGTGGCTTCTTGCCAACTATTCTGAACAACATCCTCCTCTCTACCATGAGATTATATTTAGGTGGTATTAGCTACCTTACAATCAGTCGAGTATTTGCTGAACTGGAAAGACTATATTTAGGCGGTTATTTATACTATGCGAGTGATAGTGGAACTCTTTTTTTAATCAGTATATAGTTGGTGTGTTGATGTCAAGGAGCTTCATTTTGTAGCTACGTATTCATGCTCTAAAACAACCATATCTTGCACGGGAGAGATCTACTCATTAATAATGTGATGATGAAATTAAAGACACTTGACAGGATACTATATATAGTGTAACTATATATAAATAAACGGTTGGTGCAGCAACTTGACATCTGCTCATATAACTGAAAATTTGCCATGTTGTTATGTTACTAGATCCAACACCAACACGGAAAAAGAAATGCCCACAAAAACAAGAAAAAAGGATAATAAGAGTTATAGACAAATTGACTTATGTGTACATATTTCTAGATGCATAGTTCTGCTAGACTTCTCCGGCTCAATCATGAAGGTGAACAACTCTCATTTTCTGATTGGAGCGTTATACACCATTGGGCAATTATTCAACTGCTCAAGCAGGTTAAACAGCAAAAAGAGCTTAAGTATGGTCAGAGTGCGTTACGAATGCACCCATACAGTGGGACACAAGTAGACAACTAAGGCTAACATATAGTCTAATGGGCTAGTGGTTCCATAACTAGATCAGGCCCTCCAGGGCTTCGATTGAGGTGCCACTACTGGAAAACTGTACTTTGCCGAGTGCCTGAGACTTTGCCGAGTGCTTTTTATCGGGGCACTCGGCAAAGCAATATTTTGCCGAGTGCCGCACTCGGCAAAATAAAGCACTCGGCAAAGGTGGCTTTGCCGAGTGCCAGGCACTCGGTAAAGCCTGGCTCTCGGCAAAACTGGGCTTTGCCGAGTGCTGCGACACTCGGCAAAAGTCCCACTTGCCAAAAGGTGGCTGGCCCGTCACGACGCCTCGACAAGTTTCGTGATTTTCGGACTTCGTTTGCATTTTATATAATTTAAAATCACATTTCCGGCAAGTACCTCGACATGTTACGTCAACGAGATGCTCGAGATTTCATGCGAGTTCCTGGATACGGCCTAAACATACCCTAAATATCATGAGTATCATTTTTTGGATGACCAAAGTCCATTATTCCATGTACCTACAGTTCAAATTTGAAATATCCCGAAAAATTCGGCGAAATGAAATAAACTAATGAAATATATCAAAAAAAGTCAAAATTGCCCCAAATTTTAAAATAGAGTTTGAAATACTGTCACAAGGCCCCAGAAAAAAATTTGGGCCCAAAATCAAATTTTTTTTTTGCCGAGTGCCATGGGGGGCACTCGGCAAAGTGGGCTTTGCCGAGTGCCGGCCCAGGAGGCACTCGGCAAAGTTGAATTAAAAAAAACTAAAAGCCCACCGGCCCAACCCTAAGTCACGCCCCCAGCCACCCGCCCGCTCACCCGCGCCCACCCCAGCCGCCGCCGCGCCCACCCCTGCCGCTGCCGCGCCCTCGCCGGCGAATCGCCACTGCCGGCGAGCCCCGCCCTCGCGCCCGCGTGTGCCCGCGCCCTCCGCCGGCCTCGCCCGCGGCCGCGCCCGTCGCCAGCCTCGCCCGCCGCGCCCACCCCCGTCGCCGGCCACGCCCCGTCCCGGCAGCTCCCCGTGGCCCGGCCCCCCTCGCCTCGGCCACCCAGAGGTGGCTGGCTGGTGCCGGCCGGCCATTTCCGGCAGCGGTGGCTCCTCCCTGCTCGTCGCCGAAGATGTCCACTCCACCGGCCTCGATGACACGCTCCTCACCTAGCTCTGCGCCGCCAAGTCCGCCGGCTCTCCCCTCTCCTCCCTGCTCCCCCAAGGTAGACAAACATTCCCCCATTTGATTTTGCCCGTTTCCGATGTACGCGCTCCATCGTTTTTGTTGACATGTATAGTAGAATGATAGATACTTCGATGTGCAATTTCAGGGCAGTGTCAGCTGTTCAAGAACCTTGAGGCTAGGGGCAAAGTCATAGACGCCGCTACCACACTTGGAAGAACAACTGGTTCGTTGTTCTGTGACCAACTGCACATACATGTTCTGATCTTCCAATCAGTAGAGCACAAGAAACGCTTACATCCTTGGTGTTTTGTCTACATAAATTTCAATTGTGTTTCTGATTTTAAGCCCGGAATTCCTGTTAAGCCCACATTTCACATTTCATCTTCACACGCCTATTCTCAGGTCTGGTGCTAGTTGACTGTTCTGCAACTTATGACACTGTTACTCTGCTGAAAGATGCTGTGGATCATGGATGTTGTATTGTGTTGGCAAACAAGAAACCTCTTACTGGTGCTTATGTAATACTATTTGACTTCCATTTCTCTGATAATAGTCTTTCCTAATGCCGGAATCGCAGTATCGCACTCTGTCATGTTGTTCAACAAAGAGTTGTTATCTGATTAGTTAACAAATACATTTGTTGCTGTTGCAGGAGGATTTTCAGAAGTTGGTCTCCAACTTCCGTCGCATAAGATTTGAATCTACTGTATGTTCATGTTTGGTTTTTTGTTTCTGTTTCGATGCTTGTGGATCTGTACAAACTGGTGCTTTGCATTTTTTCTAACTACTGCTGTCCATGACTAAAGTTTTGCCGTTATGGTTTATATCTCTAACCTTGCTTTAAAACGTTGAATGCACTGGTGTATAAAGAAGTTAGCTATATTGTTGCAATTCTATCATTTTGATCTTTGCATTGAGTTAATTTGTACTGGTTCGTAACATTTGCTTGACATCAGAAGATGACAGACATGATAGGAGTGTCAGGACATACATATAAGACAGTTCTATTTCATATTTTGTTCTCCTTTATCTATGGTGTTTTAACTTTGACGTAGGTTATACTTTCAGGTTGGAGCAGGTTTGCCTGTGATATCTTCTGTAACCCGTATTATTGCATCTGGAGATCCTATTTATCGTATTGTTGGCAGTTTGAGTGGTATGCAATTATTAGTCTATTTTGTAAATGGTGACAGTTTATATATAAAATATTACAAGTTTTTCCTTCATATGGGTTTGTGGGTACACTTGGGTATGTGATGAGTGAGCTTGAGGATGGAAAGAAATTTAGTGAAGTCGTGAAAAATGCCAAATCTCTTGGCTATACAGAACCAGGTCTTGCAGATATCTTGTGATATATTTTCATCGCAGTTGTTATATGTGTCAATTTCTAGTAGATCCTGTTTGTGAAGCAAAGCTCAAACAAAAAACTACTAATATGAGAAGATCCTTCTTCTTAACGGATAACCCAGGGGCCGTCATAACTCCCCGCAGGTCGAGTTTTTTTATTGCTTTGCCTATTTGCAATATGTATTTATTGAAGTGTTTATTTTTGCCAGATCCACGTGATGATCTTGGTGGAATGGATGTGGCTAGAAAGGTTAGATACCTTACAATTTCGCATTCAATAAACTGTATTCTGTTTTCTGTTTTTTCCCTTGCCTAAGTGAATTCTTGTGTATTGCATGAACTGCTGCAGTGTTGAGTTTAATTTTGTCCTACTAGAATTTGATGTGAAAAATCATGTAAACATAACCATTATCACAAACTGGTCCACCTGTCGAGGTACAGTCCAGTGTTCATATTCGCATTTAATACCTTCATCTTTGAATGCAGGCGTTGATCCTGGCTAGGCTTCTGGGGCAACAGATAAGCATGGAGAATATCAATGTATGCCTGTCTGTACTATTTCTTGAGAAGTTGAGATTATTATTTTATATTTGATAACTTGTTATATAGGCATGGTGCTCTGTACACTGGGTGATATTTTCACTGTTATTGCTTATAGATATGGGTGTGCTACTTCACTGTTAGTTCACTGCTAACAATAATCAAGCAGTTTCTGGCCAAAGTAATCCTGTTCATATATTGTAGTTGTGGAAGGTCTGCCTCCTATTCATTTAAATGATTACATGGGGCCATCTTTTAGGCTTGTGTCCTGTTTTATCGAGGCATAGATTGACTTGTCTGAATTGTTACATCAATTGTACACTGATATTCTAAATCTGTAAGAGTGGATTAAATAGTCCCCCAAACTTGTAAAGTTGTCGTATAGCTGATTGATTGCACCACTTGTTTCTTGTGGTAGCTGCCAATTTTAATCTTTTATATGTCGCATAGATCGGCGTGGTCGAGGATCGTGTCACCGGCGGCTGATCGCGTCAACCCTTCGCCGCAGTTCGGTCCTTCACCGCAGTCCGGGGGGCCACACCTGCAGTCTCCGTCGCCACAGTAGGGATGTTGAACTTTGTGATGTTGAACTTGTAATAATAAACTTGTGATGTTGAACTTTGGTGCATTTGTGATGGATTTTCGATGGATTTATTAAATATGCGTGTGCTTGTGATATATAATGCATGTTGGTGATATAGATGTGATGATTGATGTATATATATATATTGTCTGTTACAATGGAATGTAAAAAAATTTGCAATTCTCGAGGTCTTTGCTGAGTGCCATGGGCAAGGCACTCGGAAAAGATTTTTCAAAAAAAAAAATTCTTTGTCGAGTGCCTCGCCGTGGCACTCGGCAAAGTATTTTTTTTAAAAAAAATTCAGAAATTCTTTGCCGAGTGCCTAAACAGGGGCACTCGGCAAAGTATTTTTTTTAAAAAAATAAAAAAAACTTTGCCGAGTGCCTGGGTAGGGATACTCGGCAAAGTACTGTTTTTAAAAAAATAAAAAAACTTTGCCGAGTGCCTAGGCTGGGGCACTCGGCAAAGTAATTTTAAATTTTTTTTTTGCCGAGTGCTGGGTCGGGCACTCGGCAAAATAACCGTTAACGGCCGGCGCCGCAACGGCCGAAAATATTTTGCCGAGTGCCGCCCCAAGCACTCGGCAAATTTTTTTTTATTTTGCTGAGTGCCCGAATAAAAAGCACTCGGCAAAGACCCTTTGCCGAGAAAATTTTTGCCGAGCGGACTTTGCCGAGTGCTACACTCGGCAAAGCCTTTGCCGAGTGCAAAGGGCTCTTTGCCGAGTGTAAAAACACTCGGCAAAGCCGCGGCCTCCTGTAGTGTGCTGGCAGTTGGCATTATTAGTAGCAACGTTTTTGTGCTAGTTTTTGGTGTTCTTTATACTTATTCAGAAAGGTTTACGCCACTTGGTGCTATCACTAATGTGTAACAACATCTCGTGTTTTCCCGAGCGTATTAATTACTAAATTGGATGAAAGTGGACAAAAATTATATGCAATTTTAATGCGCAAGGTTGAAGCAGCGTCTTTGAAACTAGGATTGGCCTCAAGAATCATAAGGTAAGCAATAGGGATGAAGCTAGATGGGTCGTGTCATCTGATGCCACACAAGGATGGTCCACTTTGAGCAAATTTTCTGTGACCGACTCTGACTATAACATGAGAACAAATTATGAGAAAATGTATACAACATACGCATGGACATATCACAAGAGTGGCTCACTAGAGAACTGCAGTGGTGAACTTGCAAGAGTGCCATGGAGCATCTCTGGTTTCACCGATGAGAGAGATATCATGCAAGGCAAGCAAGATCTCCTGGATGAAAGAGCACAGTGGTGATGCATGGTCCAAGTCTTGCCGCATGACATCTCCATCTCACTACACACTTGTTCGTCCTGAGATGCTCACCATGGGTTCAGCCATCGACACTAAGGTTTTGATTGGTTAAAAGGAAAACCTCTATTTCAACCACAAGTATAGGCAGATTCAACAATATAAACTAATATGAACCATTTTGCTCATATAGTCATATATACTAATATAACACAAAATGCCCTGCAGTAACACAAAATAACGTTACAGCCAAGTGTTACAAATAAATATATACATGCGGACCTTCTAATTGATAGGTGGCACGAACATTGCACTGGGTGTCATCTAGGTAGTTAGGCTATCACATCAAGGCTGTCACATGACAAACAAGCAGCAACGAGTAGGCGATTAAAAAGGTCGTTTAGATACTGGTGGTTGCTGTAAAATTTTTAGGCATAGTTTAGGACACTCTAGATGGAGCGAGATCACAAGAGGAATAAGTACGTACGATGGGAAGAAAAAACTGAAAAACCGAAAAAATATGAAATTAAATGGGAGAATAGTGCAGTTATATTGAAATTTTTGAGCGAACCCACTACTTACATGCAGATTGTGCATGTACATTTTTCAGTGAGGTAGATGCTTTTTTTGTTCTAAGGTTCTTATGTCATAGACAGGTTTTGTCTTTACACATTTCTAATACATGCCCTCATCACCGTGGACGCGTCTTATTGACACACATCTGTGATAAGGTGATCACAATTCACAACATCTTTCGTCCATTGGCCATTGGATGAGTCTATAATCTTTCATTAGAGACGCGTCACAATCCAGCTGCACTGGTTAGGATGTCTCCTTTGTGCAGTTTTGGCATAGTGTTGGCTTCATCATACTTAGCCTACAAAACACTTCTGCATCAGCTCTCCTGGTATGCTTTTGCAGAAGCCTGAGCAGAAGCCTACTAATGATCCCTATCAAAGGGCTGCATTATTTTTTCTTTTCAAGTCTTTTGTAGGGTTACTATATTTGACTTCTGACAAGAATATGCACTTAAGGATATGACACTACATGTTTTTCCTTTTCCCTAACGACAATATCGCGAATGAGATATGGTTGCTAAGCCTTTAATTTTCAACTATTGTAATAGATCAGGTGACAAATACGTGATCCTGGTAGTCCATGGATGTTACCAGAATGCACCTACCAAAGCACGACCATCGTAGGCATGCCCTCTATATTAAACATTCCATTACTAAACTGTCACACATCCAACACTAACCAACACTAACCAACACTCAAGGATATGATAGTTACAGTTGATGATTTTGTCACTTGCGTCGAATGGGAAAATTAGGCACATGAGAAGCAACTCGCAGAAGATCATGGGGAAGCTGTTAGCGAGGATATGGCTGGGGTCCACCAACACAGTAGTGGTGGCATAGCAATCCTGCTTTAAGCATGATTCTTTCCACCTTGCTGCTTATTTTGAGTCAAAAGGGGTGGCATTGGCATATGCAACTGGTCCTCTTGAACGTATCATGAGACCAATGTTACCGAAGTCATGTAAGAGGCACAACTAAGAAATAGTGGGATGCGGAACTGTCCATCCTGTGTTGATGTTCATTCCCTTGTCCCCACGTCTTTCCTGGGTAGGTGCGTGCTATGATGTGGAAGGCTGATTGGTATTTATTTCTGCAAGACCAACACATTTGGTTTGCCGGCGGACAGGATGCATGTTTTGCTCTTCCAATAGTCCTGGGAAAACTTTATGTTATGGTCCGGAGCATGAACCCTAAACCTACTCTGAACTGAATTTTGGAAGCTCACCTTTCTGGTTGCTTATTACTTAGCTCATCATGTGGGCTTTCTGAATAGATAAGCATATCTTGGAAGTGATCTCAAGAATATGCTAATTCCTAAACTGATGAAGCGAATTCCCTTTGAGATTTCTTTTTTCTCCACGGTCATCAACATTTCAATGTGCCAGTTCAGCTGTGGAACGGGCAATGGTAAAAGCTGTAGCATGTGTAGCTGGGATTGACCTCCTAAACCGCTCAAATGTGGTTCAAGAATTATACAAGGCATACTGTCAAAAGCTAATATTCTAGGCAAAAAAAAAAACACTGTATCCAAAGCTAACTCTCCAGCCATAAAAAAGAATATCGTGTAAAAGAGATAAGGCCCAGCAGGAACGACGGCGCTCCCTGCTGCCTTCCTTGCACGCACATGGGCTTCTAGTGCTAGCAGGTGCCTGAGCTTCGGTTAGGGAACTTGCAATGTCCAGTTTCGTTTTGCCTCCCATTCCCAACAGATCATGCATGCATGTTACATTCCGACTCATTTATCATACATCACTCCACTTTGTTTTTGCGTATGCTGTGTAGTGTTGTTTGTGGGCTTTGTTCAGCTAGTGGTGACATCGATATATATAACACTATATACAGTACAGATTCTGGGCCACCACTACCAGTGGTTTTCTACATTTATTGATCATTGCTAGCTTATTAAATTAAAGGGAAATGGTTCATTTTTGCTCATGAGCACGGTGTATATATATCACTTTAGCAGCACCCAAGAAGTTTATTAGTGCACCTTGCCGATGGTGAATATCGAGCTTATAAAAGGGAGAAGTTTATTTTTGCTATCAAACAATTAGGCGAGTTTGCGCTCAGCTAGGCAACTTTGAAAATGGGAACCACTGATCATCGAACTATGTTTTCAGACAAATCTGGCATCCAGCTGGTTGAAAGTGGTTTGGTAATCATGAAAATGATTAAAAATCTATTTCGCAAAAAAATATATACTTAATTTTAAATAAGAAAAATATGAATGCAGCATCCAAAACTTTCTAGTTGGAGTTTATTGTTATTATTGCAAGCGTTCCACTATTCACAGTTATGTTATTTATTTATTTTAAACATCAATGTGCACTATTCCAAGTGTATATTCCAAAGCGTATATTTTTTAAGCAATGAGATCTTTTTAACTAACTACTAATTTAGATAGGAAGAATATGTGTAATTTTTTTTTTGAAGAGCCAACGCCACGAGTATGCCGGGCATATATTAATAGAGAAGAATCAATTACAATAAAAAGAACAACAACCTAAGGAGGCAACAACAAACCCATGGCCGCAAGAAACACAAAGCCCACGGTCCTCGAAAGCAACGGCTGTTGAGAGACACTCTGCACGCCATAAAGCACAGGCGATGTAAACTAGTAGGGGGAGTTGGTTTTCCACAGCGATTCCTCCAAGGAGGGGAACGACAACTGTAGATGACGTCAACGTCGAATGGAGAACCAAGTTTTTTTAACCAAACTCCAAGAGGGTTAGGGGGGGTCTCACAACAATGCCTCAAACGAGGGACGTGCCACCAATGGCGTTACCATTGTCGGCCAAAGCCAAAGGGCCAAGCAGGGCCTTCGCCTGATAACCCACGCCACCCAAGATCGAACCAGTCACATCGTGGATGACCACAGCCAACTGCCACCAGCAGGAGATTGCTGCAGCATCGGCAAGGTTACAGGCATGCGTGACCTGCCGCTGCCACACCAGCCCACTAGGGCCGCCTTCATCCGACATTGCACCGGCCACCATTGGTAGCCACATCTTGTTCCTGCACCAAGCAAAGAGCATCACCAACACTATT